TAAGAACACCTAGTTTAAGGATGACTGATAGTTAAGAATGGAGCCTATTGTAGCAAAATTTGAGTTAAATACACAATGGTTCGAGTTCATTGCACAATACTTATACAGTATTATACAATAATGCTGTTCCGGCTTACATACAAATTCGACTTAAGGACAGACCTTGGGAATGGAACTTGTTCTTAAACTGGGGATTACCTGTACTCATTAAATTACACTGGATTTCAAGTATTATTAATCGGGCTTTACCTTTACCACTGGAATCAGAGAGTTTGTATGCTTATACTTTTACATTACTCTTACAGTGTAGTTTAAGGCATTGTAAACCACGTTTCTTTCTTTTTTAATCTCCAACTATTGTTAGTCTTGACAAAAGCACAATAGTATAACATGCACACAAAAGTGGAACTTCTCCCATAACAATATCTATCATTATCTGTCAGCAGATTTTCTTGTTCAGCTATGTGTTGAATGTATGATGGCTTTAAAACTATCATTATTTTTCAGATTCACCCTTCGCTGATTCCTTGGTTGCCTGGCAATACCAAGGCTGATTTCAAAGCTTCATTCCACCTTAAAAGGCTTCAGTCCTGTGCACACATACAGAAGAATGAGATCTACCGAACACAGTATGATTCTTTTCAGAGATAGGACTCAATAGACCTACTATATATATATTTGGGCCTGTTTATCTGCAGTGGCAAACATTTACAAAACCATGAATAATTACTAATCATTTTTAAAACCATTGGTTATAAGCCATGGAAAAGATGCTCTACGACAGTTTTCGGAAAAACCTTGTTGCATTAATGTAGCTCTTGTAGAATGTACCATACGGTTTAAGTGTGGGATAATAAAAAAATGCTCCATTGAATGAAAATGTGATTACTCAATCACATATAGAAAACCAATATGTTAGAACTAATATTGCCATTTTCATGTTATTCCTTTTGAAAACAATGGGATCTTCTTCCAGTATTATTTGTTACCATACAAAAATGAGCTCACACAAAAGTTCTTGGTAGAATTCTCATGAATTACTTTCATGGAAGTTTCCCCATTTTAGCCAGAAGATGTCTCTACTATACCATCCTGATATTCATACTATACCATGAGACCAACTGCCCCTTGGTAAAACTGTAATTCCAATAATGCATCTCTTTCTCTCTCTCTCTCCCTCCAGGAAAAACATTTTTCCTTAAAAAAAAAACAACCACTAGCATGTTCTTCTGGATCACAAGTTTCCTAACTGCTACCATATGAAAAGTGAGCACTGTCACTTTACTGCCAATGTCCTTGGAAATTCTGTAGAGGTACATGCCAATGATAAATTGTTTTAGTGCCCCCCCCTTCTTTTAGCACCAGCCTTTCTATCAGTACCTAAATCCTCATCTCTGCTCAGAGGATTCTTTGTTGGTTTCTGTTTGTGCCAGAGTTCCCACATCTCTAATAATTTCAGAATGCCCTCTTTAAGAAACATCTCTGTCTCCTAATCTCCTGTAAACCTAAATGTTCCATGAGTACACAGGAAAATATAATGTGCATAATGCACACTACAATCGCATGTTTGAAAATATATGTTTCAGCCAGAGGTTAAAGGACCAAGTTGCTGCCTTTGAGTTTGCAGAAGATACTGCTTTGGGTGGGTGGGGGCAGTATATCTGAAATGGTTCTAAAATCTCCATGATATGTACTACATTTCCCCAACCTAGTTTCCCCCAGGTATCTTAGGACTGCAGCTCTCAAAATTATTTGCTAGCATAAATAAGGCATGCTTTGTGCCCATGGAATAGTGGTTGATTGTTGGAAGGAGGAAAAGCAGAGTGCAAAGCATGATGAATTGAATATTATCTAATAGGGCATTGCTGGCTTGAAAGTGCACTAGGATACAGATAGTACAATATTTCTTTGTGGGTCTCATTTGTTTATTCCTAAATAGTCTAAAATCCCCTAAATAATTTTCTATATTCATTGACTCCCTTCCAGTACAGTCAGAACATGTCACCTTCTTCTTGTGTCTTTTTTCTCTTTCTCCCTTTCACTTCTGTTCACTTATTCTAATATCCATTCATCTCTACTATTTTGAAAAAAAAAAAACAAGCTTCAAGACTGCTGGGGGAAGCATGGCAAACTGAAGACATCTCTGCGAAAGTGGAGCCAACAACCACAGCAAAGAATGAAGAACCAGTGAGTAGACCGGCTCTTCAGAACCTCTCCAGATAAGGTGAGAATGAAAGATTGCTCACATGTGCTCCAGACAGCTGCTCCTTGCAAGAAGACTGCAGGACAGTGGTCTTCTGAGGATTTGAGCACCGGAAAACAAAGGGATTAACCACCTTGCTCACAACCACGGTGGAGCCTTTTAAAGGACACTAAGTTTGCAAGCCTTACTTTCTAATCGCTTTCAGAAATGGCCTTTTAACCATCTTCAAACTATTAGAGACCTTCAGAATGACAAGTTTGAAAATTCTGGATGAGTTTAGCTTCAACTCTGAACAAAATAAAAATTAATTAACAAACTTAAGAACTTAAATAATTTGAAATAAACAGCAAAAAGCTAAATAAGATTTTGATCTAAGAAAGATACAAATGGATTAAATTTGGAATGTTAACTTTTACTATAAGATTTTGGAATTAACTATAAAATAAACAGCTTCTTGTGGGAACTACTGTAGAATTATTTTGGCTATCTTGGCTCATAACAAAGGTAACCAAATTTAGAAACTGGACACTACAGGGGACTAAAGAATCTAAGTAGAAGGAAAAAAAATACAAGCCTCTTTTTAGTGTCGGCTGGTACTGGGATTTGCAAAATGACACAAAACGACATACCACTAGAAATATTAAAGGAGATCTTTGAAGAATTGAGGCAGGAATTAGTAGCCATAATATCAA